AAAGAGTGTGCTGCTAAATAACCAAGAGATTACTGAAGAAATCAAAGAGGAAATCAAAAAATACCTAGAAACAAATGATAACGAAAACATGATGATCCAAAACCTATGGGACACAGCAAAAGCAGTTCTAAGAGGGAAGTGCATAGCAATTCAGGCTCACCTCAAGAAACAAGAAAAATCTCAAACAATCTACCTTATACCTAAAGTAACTAGAAAAAGAACAAAGAAAACTCAAAATTATAGAAGGAAAGAAATCATAAAGATCAGAGCAGAAATAAATGAAATAGAAAGAAAGACAATAGCAAAGATCAATAAAACTAAATGCTGGTTCTTTGCGAAGATAAACAAAATTGATAAACCTTTAGCCAGACTCATCAAGAAAAAAGGGGAGAGGATGCAAATCAATAAAATTAGAAATGAAAAAGGAGAGATTACAACTGACACCGCAGAAATACAAAAGATCGTAAGAGACTACTACAAGCAACTATATGCCAATAAAATGGACAACCTGAAACAAATGGACAAATTCCTGGAAAAGTACAACCTTCCAAGACTGAACCAGGAAGAATTAGAAAATATAAAAAGACAAATCACAGGTAATGAAATTGAAACCATAATTAAAACTACTAGAACTAATCAATGAATTTGATAGGGTTGCAAGATACAAAATTAATGCACAGAAATCTCTTGCATTCCTATACACTAACAAAAGAAAGAGAAATTAATGAAACAATCCCATTTACCATCTCAACAAAGAGAATACCTAGGAATAAACCTACCTAAGGAGGCAGAAGACCTGTATTCAGAAAACTATAAAACACTGATGAAAGAAATCAAAGATAATATAAACAGATGGAGAGATATACCAGGCTCCTGGATTGGAAGAATCAATATTGTGAAAATGACTTTACTACCCAAAGCAAACTACAGGTTCAATGCAATCCCTATCAAATTACCAATGGCATTTTTCACAGAACTAGAACAAGAAATTTTACAATCTGTATGGAAACACAAAAGACCCTGAATAGCCAAAGCAATCTTGAGAAAGAAAAACGGAGCTGGTGGAATCAGGATCCCTGACTTCAGACTATACTACAAAGCTACAGTAATCAAGATAGTATGGTACTGGCACAAAAACAGAAATACAGATCAATGGAACAGGATAGAAAGCCCAGAGATAAACCCATGCACATATGGTCACCTTACCTTTGATAAAGGAGGTAAGAATATACTATAGAGAAAAAACAGCCTCTTCAATAAATGGTGCTGGGAAAAATGGACAACTGCATGTAAAAGAATGAAATTAGAATACTCTCTAAAAACCATACACAAAAATAAATTCAAAATGGATTAAAGACCTAAATGTAAGGCCAGACACTATAAAACTCTGAGAGGAAAACATAGGCAGAACACTCTATGACATAAATCACAGCAAGATCCTTTTTGACCCACCTCTTAGAAAAATGGAAATAAAAACAAAAATAAACAAATGGGACCTAATGAAACTTAAAAGCTTTTGCACAGCAAAGGAAACCATAACAAGACGAAAAGACAGAATTTCCATTTCTCAGAATGGAGAGAAAATATCTGCAAGTGAAGCAACTGACAAAGGAGTAATCTCCAAAATATACAGGCAGCTCATGAAGCTCATATCAAAAAAACAAGCAACCCAATCCAAAAATGGGGGAAAGACCTAAAGAGACATTTCTCCGAAGAAGACATACAGATGGCCAACAAATGCATGAAAAGATGCTCAACATCACTAATCATTAGAGAAATGCAAATCAAAACCACAATGAGGTATCACCACACACTGGTCAGAATGGCCATCAACGAAAAATCTACAAACAGTAAATGCTGGAGAGGGTGTGGAGAAAAGGGAACCCTCTTGCACTATTGGTGGGAATGTAAATTGATACAGCCACTATGGCGAACAGTATGGAGGTTCCTTAAAAAACTAAAAATAGAACTACCATATGACCCAGCAATCCCACTACTGGGCATATACCCTGAGAAAACCATAATTCAAAAAGAGTCATGTACCACAATGTTCATTGCAGCACTATTTACAATAGCCAGGATATGGAAGCAACCTAAATGTCCATCGATAGATGACTGGATAAAGAAGATGTGGCACATATATACAAGGGAATATTACTCATCCGTAAAAGGAACAAAATTGAGTTATTTGTAGTGAGATGGATGGACCTACAGTCTGTCCTACAGAGTGAAGTAAGTCAGAAAGAGAAAAGTACCATATGCTAACACATATATATGGAATTTTAAAAAGCGGTACTGATGAATCTAGTGGCAGGGCAGGAATAAAGACGCAGATATAGAGAACAGACTTGAGGGCATGGGGGTAAGGGGAAGCTGGGATGAAGTGAGAGAGTAGCAGTGACGTGTACACACTACCAAATGTAAAATGGATGGCTAGTGGGAAGCTGCTGCAGAGCACAGGGATATCAGCTTGGTGCTTTGTGACCATCTAGAGAGGTGGGATAGGGAGGGTGGGAGGGAGGCTCAAGCGGGAGGGGATGTGGGGATATATGTATACATATAGCTGATTCACTTTGTTGTACAGCAGAAACTAACACAACATTGTAAAGCATTTATACTCCAATAAAGATGTGGGGGAAAAAAGGCAAAGGAGAACATCTTTGAAGAAAAGTACGATGTTGGCTCATCCAAAACAAAAAGGTCTGATTTTCAAACTCTATAGGTTCTAAGTAAAGCAAACTACTGAATGCAACCAATACATGCACTGTGAGTAGTGAAATGGAGAGAAAGCATAGTAAATTGGCTTTGAGTATGGACCATGGAGTCAGGCTGCCTGGGATCTAATCCTGGCCGCACTACAAATAAGGAGAGTTACATAGTCTCTGTGTCTCAATTTCTTAATCTCTATAAAAACAAATATATATATATATATATATATATATATATATATATGTACTGTTTCTGTACCTACTTCAAAAGAAATTAAATAGAAAGTACTAAGTTAATGTTAGCAACTTTTGTTAAATTTAAGTACCTAGAATTGCATGCTAAGTCATTTTCAATAAATGCTCTCATGCAAAATTTCCATACACTCCAGCACTAAATTTCATACACAATGAATTTGATTATAATCATTGTACAAACATATTTCTAAAAAGTCACTAGGAATCAGGGCTTCTGTGAAATAAAATGAAAACAAAACAAAATAAAATGAGTGCTATCACTATCTTTTTCTTCCATAAAGGAATTAAAATGAGAGCACATCTAGTCTCACCTTACAGAAATCAAAAATGACAAATGAATACATAAATGAACATGGTCTTTCATAAGATGAGAATTTCTAATAGAAATATCTTACTGTAATCTTACTATCACAACAATAAAATTTTGATAATTCATCTAAAACAATCTCTTCTTTGGGACAGTGGTTCTCACATCTGTTTGGATGGTAATGCACAAGCAAGAGAGGGTGCTCTTTATAGAACCCCCAAAATGATGATGTTGTAGTTAACGGCAACATAAAAAATAAAAAAAACTTTACTAGATTATGGACTGCATATGCATATGCAACACAGATGCATATTCTCTAATATGAAAATAATAACCACAAACCTCTATCTATGAAAAAATCTAAGCAAGAGCAATGTCATTTTTTCATTAACATTAATTTGGTACTTGTTAGTAATAACAGCTGCTAACTTCTGAATACCTACTACATGCCAGGGCAGGCAATATGCCAAAGAGACTGAAGTGCATATCTTACTTGTAACTTATTTACCTTACTCATGACCATATAAGGTAGTCATCATTATTTTCATTTTGACAGTAGAACAACTGAGGTTTCAAAGAGGTTAGATATAATTTAACTTAAGTTCAAACAACAGGGAAGGGACAGAGCAAGGACTCAAACCTGTCTGACTCAAACTTTGCACTCTTAACCACAACACTAGACTTCAATGCAATAAAATCTAAAAATTTAAACATTTTACATAATTAAATTTTATATGAATCAAAAATGATCAATATTAACCAATTTTAAGAATAAAACATATGTATCAGTGGGAGGACCATTTAAGAATCATTGCCAAGAATCTAACCTAAGCATGGCAAAAGCTGTTAAAAGAGTAGACCTTAAATGTTTCCAACACAAAAAAGAAATGGTAATTGTTTCATGTGACACAATGGAGGTGTTAGCTAATGCTATGGTGGTAATCATTCTGTAATATATTCATGTATCAAAGCAATACATTTTACACCTTAAACTCACACAATATTATGTATCAATTATATCTCAAGCTGGGGGAAAAAAGAATCACTAAGAAGCCTGCTATTAAAATTATTCTGGAAATTATTCCAAAGTTCCAAATGTTAACATGCTTTGGTTAAGTACACAGCTAACAAAACCTAGTTCTTAAAGCTGTAATTCAAATGAAGGTCTTCTTACTAGGATATAAGCCAACTGTAAAATCAATCACGGATCAATTAACCTAACTAACTTAATTCCTCAAAGAGAGGAGATATTTTTAGAGAACATAATTAAGTTGGTAGCCATTCTGGAATTTACTTATTTTGAGGAGGCACAAGGGCTAGTGTTGTCAAAAAGAAAAAGATAATCCTTAGCCTTTTTAGTTGAACTGCTATTTGCTAAAGGAAATACTACTGATATATTGAGTTTTGTAGCAAGTCTTCTAACACTGCCCTATATGTCCATGATTTCTAATTTCATATTATTGTAATTAGAATATCTATAGACATAATTGGAAGGACAGAAAACTATATAAAAATAATTCTCATCAATGAGAAGAACAATGAAAAGATTATTCATAGCTCAAACATGTCTAGGTCAATCCAACTTAAAACCTTATTATTCTGGAATGAATTTTTACTAAAAGACAAGTGTCTTGAGTCTGCACTGGATAGCTATTAAAGACAAGAAAATCAATTGATATTAATCATTAAATTTAAAAATAATCTTAAGTCAAGCCATAAAATGCATCTACCTTATGATATGCATTGCCTGGTAAAGTATTTCAGACTGATCAACTCCAAGAACCTTCTTTGCCCCGGCTTTAGCAGCAAACATAGAGAGAATTCCAGTTCCACAACCAACATCCAAAACTACCTGGTGTAATAAAAAAACAGATGTTATCGAGAAGGTCTAATACTTTAAATCCTATTCATATATGATGATGTTTCTGGCTAGGAATAGATAACAAAAATTTAAACTTTACCGATCAAATATGGTAATAATTTCTCTTTGGGGAAATAGAAAATATAATTACATTAAGTTGTTTTAAATTCGTAACTGTTTTGGTCACAGTCTGCTGCAATCAGATGCAACAATGTAAATTTAAGAAATGTTTTATATGAAATAAGCAATTCCCACAGACTTATTAAGAGGGAATTAGTCTCTTTTTTATTTCCTTATTGTATGTATGCTCTAATTTAGGATTAGTAATTCTAAATTTTAACAGAAATAAACTTTCTCAAGTTTGAGTGGCAGGAATTAAGCAAGATAGCCTGATCCAGTACAATTAAAAAATGGTTATAAAGGAATCATGAATGGAATATTACTCAGCCATAGAAAGAAACAAAACTGAGTTATCTGTAGTGAGGTGGATGGACCTAGAGTCTGTCATACAGAGTGAAGTAGGTCAGAAAGAGAAAAACAAATACTGTATGCTAACACATATATACGGAATCTAAAAAAAATTGGTTCTGATGAACCCAAGGGTGGGACAGGAATAAAGACACAGACGTAGAGAAGGGACTTGAGGACACGGGGCAGGGGGATAGAAGGAGAAGCTGGGACAAAGTGAGAGAGTGGCATGGACATATATACACTACCAAATGTAAAATAGCTAGCTAGTGGGAAGCAGCCACATAGCACAGGGACATCAGCTCGGTGCTTTGGGACCACCTAGAGGGGTGGGATAGGGAGGGTGGGAGGGAGGCACAAGAGGGAGGGGATATATGTATAAATATAGCTGATTCACTTTGTTATACAGCAGAAACTAACAACATTGTAAAGCAATTACACTCCAATAAAGATGTAAAAAAAAATAAAGGAATCATGGATATAGAATATTGCCATAACCCCTCCACTTCCAAAATTAAATGTTCAACTCATTTTATTAATACAGGTACAATAAAAACAAACTGGCTTCTAGAACTCAGTAACTTGAGAGTTTAATTTTTAAAAATGATATTCATTATCATTGGTGAAAGTAATAAGAAAAACCAAATTTAAGATGTTATTGGGGATAGGCAGGGAGCAATTATTTCTAATCAAGAATTTCATACAGTTCTTCCCAGAACAGTATAGTGAAACCTGCTTGGTTCATAGTAAAAAACAAAAACTAATTACCAAAGAAACACATTCAGCAAAATACTCAGAGGTACACTAGAAATTACTGAAAACTGTAGTGCCTTAAGTCTTTCACTACCAATGACCTGAAACCCTATATACTTGTCTCAAAATATGAAATTATTTCAGTAGTCTTCTACTATAAGTATTCACTGAGCATTACTAAGTGCAGGCATTGATCATGGGGATGGGGTACAGCAACAAACAAGACCAAGTCCCTGTCCTAACAGAGCTTACAATCTTGTGGGGGAGATAATGAACAGACAAAGAATAGAGAATAAAGAACAGAGAATGTTAACAGAGAATAGTAGTGTTATAAAGAAAACTCAAGCACAGAGTAGAGGTTAGAGCAAGGGGCGGGGGGACACACTCTTTTAGAATTTTAGATAGGTCTGCGAATACTTCTCTGATACATGTGAGCAGAGAAGGAAATGAAGTAAAGGAGTGTGCCAAGCAAAGATCTGGAGGAAGTGCCTTCTAGCCATAGAAGATATTAAATGCAAAGCACAAGATTCCAGGCAAAGCAAGAAGGCCACTGTGGCTGAGCTGGGTGAGAAAGGTTCCTTGGCGGTGAGATCAGGGTTAAGCAGGGGTCAGATCACATAAAGCCCTTGGATTTTATTCTGAGTAATGGGAAGCTACTGTAAGAAAAACAGAACTAGAATTAAGAATCTATTATATTTTTCAACAATTACTTTTTCACTAGGTGAAACATTCATACAGTTTAAACATCAAAAAGTGTATTTCTTATTTATCCTTCAAAAGAATTTTTATGCATATACAATGCAATACTATATATGTATTTCCTTCCCTCCTTTACACAAATGGAAGCATATTATACCCACTGTGCTACACATTGCTTTTTTCCTTAACAACATAATTTAGAGATCTTTCCATATCACTTTATAGAACTTCTTTCTCTTATATAGCTGTATAGGATTCCGTATCATGGTTGTACCATAATCTACTGATCCAAGTCTCTACTGATGGACATTTATGTAGTTCCTGAAATTTTACCATGACAATCAATGCTGTAAATAACATTATACCTAATCCCATTCATACATGAGTAACTCTACAGATGTACAAAGGAGTAAATCTATTCCTAGAAATAAAAACACTGGGTCAGAGAGAATATACATATTTGTAATTCTGCTAAACATAAATTACCCGCCATATGGCAATTCTACTCATGAAGACTCAAATCAGCAATGTGTAAGGGCCAATTTCCTCACAGGTGACACTAGCCCATATAATCAAACTTTCAGATTTCTGCCAATATAGCAAATACAAAATAATGATATACTGGTCTAGATTTAATGTGCATTTCCATTATCATGAGGTTTTGCAACATATTTCACATGTTGTAGAGCCATCTGTAGTTCTATGTGAACCATCTATTTTAGCCTTTTTCCATTTCTCCAAGTTGTTAGTCCTTCTCTTACCAAATTTCTCTTATCAAATTTTATCAAATAAGAGCTCTTGTTAGTTAAGATCAGACCTTTGTAATATGACTTGCAATGTTTTCTCTCAGCATATGATTTTTCACCTTTTGATTCTGCTTAAACTGATCTTTGCTATGCAGAAATTCTTTATTAACAAACTCATTAATCTTTTCTTTTAATGGCTTCTGGATTTTGATCATAATTAGGCCAACTTAGCCCATATTCTCTCCTATTTCATTCACACTTCCTTCTGGTACATTTACAGTTTCATTACTACAATTTTGTTTTTTTTTAATCATAGTATACACTAAGAGGTATGGTTCCAACTTTACTTCTGTTCAGAAAGCTAATCAATTGTCCCAACATGTTATTAAACAGTCTGTGTTTGCATCCCCCCAAAATTCACACATTGAAATACTAACCCCCAAGGTGATGGTATTAGAAGCTGGGGCCTTTCGGAGGTGATTATGTCATGGGGACAGACCAAAAGACACAGAAATTTTAGTGAATGCTGAAAGTCCCTGTCTCAATTCATTCAGCATGCTATAACAAAAATACCATAAACTGAGCGGTTTGTAAACAACGGAAATTTATTTCTCACAGTTCTGGAGGCTGGAAAGTCTAAGATCAGGGCACAGGTTGACTCTGGTGAGGGCCTGCTTTGTGGTTCAGAGACATGACTTCTTGCTGTGTCCTCACATGACAGAGGAGAGGAAGGGATCCCTCTGGAGATCTGTGTATATTTTGGTTTATTTCTAGATTTTTATTCTGCTCCATTAATCTGTACAATCACGTACCAATAATTATTCTAATTATAGAAGCCTGGCAGAATTTCTGTCTAGTAAAGCTGGTCCACCCTCACTGCCAATTGTTTTCAGTGTTTCTGGACAATTTTATATGTTTATTTTCCCACAACAACAAGAAAATCAGCTTGTCTATGGTTTCTTTGTTTTTTTTTAAGTCTTAGCATTTTTATAGGGATTGCACTAAAATATAAATTTATGGAACACAGACAATTTTATTTTGTGTTTTCCATTTAGGAACATGGTATGACTTTCAATTTGTTTAAATCATCTGTTATGTTCTTCAGGAGTTTGGGGTTTTAAAAAATCTTTTTCATCTGAGTCCTGCACATTAGTTAAGTCTGTTCCTACACATTTTATCTTCTGTATTGTATACTAGTGTAAGTGAAGTCTGTTGCATTACATCTTTTTTTTAAATTAATTAATTAATTTATTTTTGGCTGTGTTGTGTCTTTGTTGCTGCACGCGGGCTTTCTCTAGTTGCAGCGAGCGGGGGCTACTCTTTGTTGTGGTGCGCAGGCTTCTCATTGCGGTGGCTTCTTTTGTTGCAGAGCACAGGATCTAGGCACGTGGGCTTCAGTAGTTGTGGCTTGCGGGCTCTAGAGTGCAGGCTCAGTGATTGTGGCACATGAGCTTAGCTGTTCCACGGCATGTGGGATCTTCCCGGACCAGGGCTCAAACCCATGTCCCCTGCACTGGCGGGCAAATTCTTAACCACTGAGCCACCAGGGAAGCCCTGTTCCATTATATCTTGAAAATATAATACACCAAAACTGACTCCAGAAGAGACAGAATCTAAACAGTCTAATTTCTATTGAAGAAATAAGGTTGTCAAAAGGCTACTGCTCTAAGAAGGACGAGGCCCAGGTGGCTCCACAGGGAGAATGTGACTGTTCCTGCACATGTGGCCTAACTGGGTGAGTCAGCACATTTTAACATAACCACTTCACACACAAGAAAGTTTAAAATTGTAAGATGCAATCTATACAATATCACTGCAAACAAAACTATTTTTTTAACGTCACAAATAAAATATATTAACCACAACATCAAGAAAATACTATAACACAGAGCATATATATTTATAGTATGATTATAGTATATCAGTTTGAAATATTATGTGGCATAAAATATAAAAATATATATAACACGGGCTTCCCTGGTGGCACAGTGGTTGAGTCCACCTGCCGATGCAGGGGACATGGGTTTGTGCCCCGGTCCGGGAAGATCCCACATGCCGCAGAGCGTCTGGGCCCATGAGCCATGGCCGCTGAGCCTGCGCATCCGGAGCCTGTGCTCCGCAACGGGAGAGGCCACAACAGTGAGAGGCCCACGTACCACAAAAAAAACCAAAACAAACAAACAAAAAATATATATATATAACACAATAGTAAGTGATAACGTCCCAAGAACTTTCATTGAAATAAGATATTTGCAAAATTTAAAAATAAAAGATCAGTGTGGAATTTAGAAGTTTGATAGCACAGGGCTTTCGCAATGGTGTTTGGGAATATCAACACCCACACACTGTTTCTGGAAAGACAAGTTGGCAGCACTAAAACCATCCTGGGTAGAACCTTTCTGACCTAGGGAGGCCACTGCTAGGAATTTATCTTATTATTCTACTCTCATATTTATAAAAGATTTTTAATATTTTATATTTTTACATGCAGCATTATTTCTAATATAACTTAAAACAATTTATGGACAATTTTACATGGGTTTTTGAGCCATTAATATAATGTTAATAAGGGATTATCTTAGAGAAATTGCTGAGCTACAAAAGCTAAGTACAGAAGGGTATGTATCATTTACTCCAATTAGAGTGTGTGTTCTTTTTTAAGACTATACGTACACACACATATATAATTTATATACATATGCATATATATATAAAATTCTTCTTTTAACCTTTTCTGAAGGAAGGAGAGCCTCAAACAAGGAAAGTAACAGATCCAGAATCATAGAGCTGGTAATTTGTAAAGGTAGCACTCAAACATACATAGGTCAATCTGCTTTTTAAAGCCTATATTTAAATTATATTTTAAATTATATACTAATTATTTATTACCTCTAGCTCAGATTTAGGTAGTTGGGCAAATAAACTAAAACCTGGTAGAATCAAAGAAAGAGGTAGAAATGATAACAGAATACATTAACATTATTTTATAAAATGATGAAGGAATGTGATTCAGTTTCTAAAAAAAAAAAAAAAAAAGCAAAAAGTGAATCAATTTTAACTTAGATAATAATCAAAAGCATAAAAAAGGCACCTAACTATGAATTTCTTCAATGAACTACAAATAGAAATTAATTATGAGTGAGTGATAACACAATTACGCCACCCAAAGTTAAATTAAATCTGAGAAACCATATGTCCTCCACAGGAGCTTTGTGAATTAAAACAATATTAAGAAAGAAATGAAGGAAAGGAAGTAAGAAGGGAGGGATGGAGGGAGAAGGGAATGAAGGAAGGAAGACATTTTAAATTATAAGCACCTTTTTGAAAAATAAATCTCTACCATTCACTAAATAATATGATACAGAAGCTAGTGCTGTGATATGAAATTTGTCTACCTAATGGAGATAAAAGCAAACAAAAACAATGCTAATAAAACTTAAGAAAACATGTTATTTCATACATTTTTTAAAAGAACTATATTTAAATAATTTCATGAACATGTTCTGTCATGGCACACAGAAATTATATGACTTATATATGAAAAATAGTGTTAATTAAAATATGACTAATGAATCCCACCCTAATTACTCATTCTATTTTAACATAACAGTTTCAAAGTGTAGCGGCACAGGGTTAAGGGCACTAGACTAGGACTAAAACCCTCGTTTGTTTGCTTTTTTTTTAGCCGCCTGTTTTAGGGAAAGTCAATTAACCTACTGGTTTCAAATTTCCTCATGTGAAAAACAGAGACGAATACATACCTGCTATGAATACACCATATCAGTATATTGTATAGCAACAATGAGACAACATGCTTGAAAGTATTCTATAAATTATCAAATGCTATTTAAATATGTGTCATATATTTTTAAAATCTGTAATCATAGTATAATATAAAGAAAAGTGTCCCAAATCATTTAAAAATATGAAAGCTCTAGATTACTTAATATTATTAATTATAGAAAATTATATCCTGAATATACTTCAAAGAGTTAGAAATTGACACACATATATTTAACATCACAGTATACTTCTGAGAAAACACAAATGCCAAACAAAATTAATTACACATTGATAAATTAAATGAAAGCATCTTAGGCAAAGTACTAAGGAAAAATACTCCCTGTTTATTAGTAAGCCCCTTTCTGACTTGGGCAGATTTAATCTCTTCAGTAAAAGCAGTAAGTGGAACACAAAATAATTAAACATTCTATGTGTTCCATGGTCACGTATTTTGTCCAAAAATGTATAATATATACAATATTTCTATAAGACTGTTACAAATGAAAAATTAAAAGCAGAAAGGGACTGTGTATAGGTCTATGAACCCAGTAAGATGTGCTTCATATACATAGAAATATTCATAATTACTTAATTTCCCAATGATTAACCTTATGTTTACTAATACTTGTGCCTTTTCGGTATTTTCTTATATAACAAAAAAGTTTATTCAGAGCATATTGAAAAAGAAACTTCTAACTACTTTTACTTAAGGAATTCTTATGGCATTCATATCAAAAAGTATTTTTAAAAAGATGGCTCAAAGAAAGAAAATGATAGTGCTTTTATAAAAACAAAAATCATAAAGTTTTAGAACCAGAAAGGTTTAAAAAAATCATTGTATTTTTAATTTTATTTTTTAACATCTTTATCGGAGTATAACTGCTTTACCATGGTGTGTTAGTTTCTGCTTTATAACAAAGTGAATCAGCTATACATAAAAAATCATTTTACAAGTGAAGCCCACAGAGATTCACCACTGTCTAAAATTATTATGTAGATGGTTCCTAAGAAGCCAGGCAGGACTAGTTATTCCCAGACTAGAACATGGTTAATTTCTATACAACATATTAAGGAAAAAATAAAATAAAAATCTAGGCAAAATCGAACTGTAAATATAAGGCAACATTTTTTTTTTTTTGCGGTACGCGGGCCTCTCACTGTTGTGGCCTCTCCCGCTACAGAGCACAGGCTCCGGACACGCAGGCTCAGCGGCCATGGCTCACGGGCCCAGAGGCTCCGCGGCATGTGGGATCTTCCTGGACCGGGGCACGAACCTGCATCCTCTGCAATGGCAGGCGGACTCTCAACCGCTGCGCCACCAGGGAAGCCCAACAATGTGGTTTTTTAGACAAATATCAAATAAATTGTTTCAGCACTTCGGTGCAAACATAAAAACTATAAAAAAATTCTTAGTCTCTGCTGCAAAAACATATAAGAAGCATACAAAAAGGTCAAGTATAAATAACTGATAAAAACTAATACTTTAAAAATAAAATAATCATTTGTCTATAGGGGAATTAGCAAAAACAAAGAAACACACACCATCATTACCTCATAGGTAATGCTTTGGCCAAAAGATATCAGAGCACCATATAAATTTCGCAGGTCCAACTTGGCTAGATCACAAGTGAAACACCGCTCTTAGGAAACAGGTATGGAAAATGAAAAGCCAATCTACATGATATTCCAAACAACATAAAAATCAGGGAAATAGCTTTTCAACATATAAAGGTTGTTAATCACTGCTGCAACATCACGTAAAGCTCATGAAATAACCTGATAGAAGTATCTTTTTTTTTTTTTTTTTGGCGATACGCGGGACTCTCACTGTTGTGGCCTACTCCCATTGTGGAGCACAGGCTCCGGACGTGCAGGCTCAGCGGCCATGGCTCACGGGCCCAGCCACTCCGTGGCATGTGGGATCCTCCCGGACCGGGGCACGAACCCGTGTCCCGTAGCATCGGCAGGCGGACTCTCAACCACTGCGCCACCAGGAAAGCCCCTAGAAGTATCTTTTAAATGGAGGTGAAAGGGGAGTTATAAAAACCTGATGTTACCAATATACATGTTCTTGAAGTAGAAAGACTGGGGAAAAATTCCCAAGCAAAAGTATATAAGTGGCAGAGACGATAATATATTTGACTAAATTAGTGGACTAATTTCCAATGAGGAGGAACAAAAACAGAAAACCTGAACTTTTAGATAACCATGCCAATGTAGAGAGGGAGGGAAGGAGAAAGTGAAGAAGAAAAATGGAAAAATTCACAAGGGAGGAAAAACAAATGACACATTTTTAACACACCCACCCATATACAAAGTGAAAGATAACCTCTGAAATAACGTGAGGCAGTATTAACACTAACTGTAAAATTTAAAGTAACTCAGGGCTTCCCTGGTGGTGCAGTGGTTAAGAATCCGCCTGCCTATGCAGGGCACATGGGTTCGAGCCCTGGTCCGGGAAGATCCTACATGCTGTGGAGCAACTAAGCCCATGCACCACAACTACTGAGCCTGTGCTCTAGAGTCTGCAAGCCACAACTACTGAGACCACGTGCCACAATTACTGAAGCCCGAGCGCCTAGAGCCTGTGCTCCGCAACAAGAGAAGCCACTGCAATGAGAAGCCTGCACACCGGAACAAGGAGTAGCCCCCGCTAGCCGCAACTAGAGAGAGCCCACGTGCAGCAACAAAGACTCAATGTAGCCAAGAATAAAAATTTAAAAAATAAAGTTAACTCATAAAAGGGTAAATAAATGAGGTCTTAAAAGAAAGCACATAAAATAAATTGTACCTTACAATATTTGACCCTACCTACCAATAATGACTTCTTAAAATTATTACTTTGTAACTAATTAACACAAACTAAAATAATAATTAAAAGTGCTTTGATATAGAGCTTATACATTTGAAATGAATAGGAATCACAGTAAATCAAAAATATGGTTTAAGCAAAATTATCTGGATAAGCAAAGTTTAACTAAGCTATGTCACTGTAATTAATTAATTTAAAAATTAATTTTAATTTTAATTAATTTCAATTTAAAAAAAAGAGTATATTGAATGACAGCACCAATCAGCATTTCTGTTATCAGTATACCGCACCACAGGGCAGCATCATAAAAGTTTTCCATGAAATAAAGCCAGTGTACATGAAATCAACTGCTATCACAATGATGACCTAAGAGAGGATTTCTGCTGCCCAAGATCCACGTGAAATGTACAATTCTGTAGTCTATGCTACTCACCTTATCTTTGAAGATATGTGGATTTTGGTATATAAAATCTCGGTAACTTTCTGTTCGTACTTTGTCCTAGGGTAGAAAGATGAAGACATTGTGTTTACAGGACAGTCTGAACAAATAAAAATATTTAAGGAAGATATTTGCTAATTTATCACACACTTCTAGTTTCCATAGCTACATTTTGCCTGGAAAACCAAGCCTAATCTTTTTTTCCTAAAAGAAAATAACAAAGAATGGAAATAGCAACAACACACAAAGAAAACCTTTAAGAACAACACTGAAAGTCAAATAAGACCTAAGTTCTTAAAAATGTACATATTTTCATCTTGACATGCATTGTAAGACTTCAAGTGATAATTAATGCTAGTAGAAGATGAACATGATGTTTTACTCCTTTAAATAGGGCCTGGAATCTACAGCCTGATTCCCTGTGGTAGAACTATGTTAAAATATGGGAAAAAAAAACCAAACTAGATAGATGTAACAGTTACAGTTACATATGAAAAATGAAGCTCAACTGAGTATAGTTTCCTAAGAAAGTCACTGATCAGCACCTATCTGATTTATAATCCTGCTTTGTTTCTAGAAATGTCTGTAGTAGGAAATGATGCTTAAAAGCCTATAAGCCTAGGGCTTCCCTGGTGGCACAGTGGTTGAGAGTCTGCCTGCTGATGCAGGCGACACAGGTTCGTGCCCCGGTCTGGGATGATCCCACGTGCCACGGAGCGGCTGGGCCCGTGAACCATGGCCGCTGAGCCTGCACGTCCAGAGCCTGTGCTCCGCAACGGGAGAGGCCACAACAGTGAGAGGCCTGTGTACCGCAAAAAAAAAAAAAAAAGCCTATAAGCCTAAAAGTCAATTGCTTGAGCCCCACATACCATATTGCAAGACTTCTCCACTCTGGAGTCTCACATGACCTGTGACCAAGGCAGGCACTGAATGTTAACATTTATGTTGGTGCATGAAGAGAGCTGATTTCCTTTTAAATCACCTCAGCTGAGACACACGCTGACAGCAAATTCAGCAGCAAGGGGCTCTGCTGCCAAGTGAGTAAAATGAGTATGATAAAAAATAACTCAGACTGGGAATTCTAGTTTTCGGTTTCACACTAGGTTAAAAAAAAAAAAAAAAGTAGTTACACTAAATACTACAACATAAAACTTTACACAGTCCATACCCTCCAAAAAAACTTTTATGCCAATACTGGGATTTTAAAAAAATGTACAAAGAAGGGCTGAAATTAAAAGGCAAGCTGTTTTACTTAATTGCTGGATTTAAAAAAGGGAAATTCCATAATTAATTCCATGTTTTCTGATGGAATTACTTCTAATTGCTTTACAAACAAAATTTTAAATCACATTTTAAAAATTGAAATCTTTCCCTCAATGTATTTTAAGAATTACTATGGGGCTTCCCTGGTGGCCCAGTGGTTAAGAATCTGCCTGCCAATGCAGGGGACACGGATTCGAGCCCCGGTCTGGGAAGATCCCACATGCCGCAGAGCAACTAAGCCCGTGCGCCACAACTACTGAGCCTGCGCTCTAGAGCCCACAAGCCACAACTACTGGAGCCCACGTGCCACAACTACTGAAGCTGAGCCTAGAGCCCATGCTCTGCCACAAGGGAAGCCACTGCAATGAGAAGCCCACGCACCACAAGGAAAAGTAACCCCCACTCGCCGCAACTAGAGAAAACCCCTGTGCTGCAACGAAGATCCAATGCAGCCAAAAATAAATAAATTTTAAAGAAAAGAATTACTATGAGAATTTAATGTTTTAAATGAATTTAAACATGGTATTAATTAATTTAAAAACTGTCTTTTTAAAAAAACCCATACCATTTCATACATTTCTACCATTTTTATACCCTTCTTACACTGTAACCAGTGTTTTTTGCTGACACAACAAAACCTACAAAGGGTGACCATCAGTCAAGAAGGCAGTCACTCGGAAAGCTCTCACCAATCACACTGCCTCGCCGCTGCTCTAACTTAATCACTAGCATCCCAACTCCTGTCCTAAATCCATGCACTGCTGCTCAGCTCAACTACAATCCTTCATCCAGTCTATTCCTACATATCCATCTGCTTTTGCTCATATGCTCATCCTGGTGCAGTGAAATTCAAAGTCTACTAAACACAGTGCCATGGACATAGCAGAGCTTCAATTTAATAAATAAATTTTTGAGAGGAAAATTCACTAAACATGAAAATTCAAGCAAATCAAACACTAGCCCTCAAACCATTTCTAAAAATGTATTCTAACAAAAGACTAACTCTTCAATATAAAATAAGGTAATAAACAGAAATAAAGTTATCTTTTGCACTAACCTAGTAAAACTAAGCAGCACAAAAGAAGAATAAAATTAGAAGTGCAATATTAAGAAGCAAGACAATCTTTTAAGGCTAGTACAGTGTAATGGAATAATTCCTACAAATATTAAAAAAATTTAAGTATAAGACTAAAGACAACAGAAAAGTTATGTATTATAAATTTTACCTATATAAGTAACAGTATGTTTTAAATGTATAGGCTCATGAAGGTGGACAGAATGCAAGAGTCAGCTGCAGATACAATGAGGAAAATGCAGTAACGAAAAATTAATGGTACTATAATCTGTGATAAATGTTCACCACGATGAGCAATGTTTTACTTGGGGGGAAAAAAAGGAGAGTGATGCATCTCCGAATTATAAGATTAGCACCAATGACTCTTCTTCAGAAAGATAAAGTGGCAAAGCATTTTGAAAGTTAATGTCCACTACTATCCCGTTATCTCTAGAATTCAAAAAAGTTATCTTCACCTTGACTCTGGAAAATAAGATTACAAACTGTCTTCATTTATAATTATAATCACAACACATGCCAAAAAAGTGTCATTTAAAATACCTGTGACTAGTAAGTAACAAAAAATCCAAATAATATTGTTATAAAAGCAAGGCCAATTCTAAGCATAAAAATAAGTCCTGTATGTATGGCTTCTCAATTTTAATTTATTTATAAAGATCAGGTGAGACTCCAGTAGTAGCACAACCTTGAACAAATTATGTGTGCTAAGAATTGATAAGAAACAGAAGAAATATTGCTTGATATAAAGCACATTTCATATTCATCCACAGTATGAATAAACTTAACAAAACATAAAATGGACAAATAGTTCTTTTTGAATGAAATATATCCATATTTCCTATGAAGACTTAATCAAGTTATCTCCAAGGAGAAGATGGTTACATTGTATAACAGCAAAGGGGAATTAAGGCATGGAAAATTTTATTAATAAGGAGTCTTAAGTGATTCTCTAAAAGTGAAAACACAGCACTGGAAACTTCCAGCTGGAACTTCTTAAATATACATGTACATCAAAAGGACTTAAAATATTCCATCAGGTGTAAAGATCCTCTAGTTGTTGATACAGAGCTACAAGGGTCCAGGACAGAGATTTGGAAGTAAGTCCAAACTGGATTTCCCTGATGACTGTACTGAGAGCACTCAGATGTAATATCTTCTAGGAGTCTCAAGTAACCTTATCTGTCTGAAAAACCCAACACAATTTCCATATCAAAAGCATTAAAGGTTCATGGCATTTAAATTGATGGGGTGATTTAAAACGGCAAACATGGGCTTAGATTAACTCCTTTAAAGGAAATATTCTAGACACAATAAAATTAATTTTAACAGGGAAAATGGAGTATGTCAATTTCTTTTAAACAAATTCACTCTGGACTTAATTTATTACTTACCAACAGTTATAAGATAACTGTTATTTGTAATGCTACGCAACTACCCAAGTGACAACAAAAAGCACAACCGTGACAAGTCATTAGCAAAGAAATGACATGACACTGCTTTAAAAGACCCCAAGTAATTACAGTTACTATTAATCAGCAAACCTCCACTCTGTGATCCTGCAAAACTGACTCAACAAAATATATACACATTAACTACCCCTGGTTATCTTAAATGGGCATGTTTCAAGGAACACGGTCTTGGGGTGTCCGTAAAATAAACCAATCTTTTGAGGAAGGATTCAGAAAGGAATTTTTCGTTTGTTGCTTTTTAAGGAAAAAAAGTAGTGGCATCTAAAATTCACAGAGATAAACATTAAAGTTTTCAGTAATTTTTACACTCCAACATTTATTTTACTCTAGTTAGATATTTTTTACTGAATTAAAAAAACATTTCGCTATTTTATAATCTATAATACATGATAAAATGTACATAATATACCAGGTATACCTAGAAATCTACTTATAGTTTATATGGACATTACCATTATAAAAATTAAAACCAACCAAATTTAAGTATCTGATTTAGGAAATTCTTCTATATAGCAATGATTTCAAATGTAAAAAAGTAATGCCGTAACAACTGTGAGAATTATTTATAATTAACTTTGTACCAAAGAATTATTATTCGCCCAAACTGAAGTCAGTACTGCTAATTAAAACACTAAAATTAATCATTTCCTTCACACATTAAAAGGCAAACGTATTTTTCTTCCTATTTAAAACTTGCTCTTGAGAAGATTAAAATCGTCAGCAATTTTTCCGAATGTTCTATTCCCAGCAAAAGGTAATCTCATAATAAAGATTACTAATGATCTTAAACAGAATTTACAGTGTCTCTGATGCTTCTATAATCTTTTCAACGCAAGATGAGCTATCAAGCACTAAAAAGATTTAAAAAGCAGTTCTCAAAAAAAACCAAAAACCAAAAAAGCAGTTCTCCCATATGTATTAAGAACCTTTTTTACTCTATTTTTCCTTTAGTATGGATTTGGTACATTTGTGCTCTTTTCTAACCTTTAGCATTTCTTCATGTATCCCATAATGCCCGTATGAGCTGAAATAAACGCCATCCTCATCCTCCTGGAGCTCTGCAATGGCAGTTGTAGATGACGAGCAGGTTCTGACATCTGCGTTCATCACAAAATCCTGAGCAAATTGTCTGTAATCAATTTGAAATACACTCTTGAGACAAGTTTACTGGACCATGAAAAAAGGAAAGGCTAGAGGCTGAGGAAGAGGAAGGGGGAGGAGGGGAGTGCGGGGTGTGATGAGCCTTCTAAATCACATTCTATCTTAAGCAACGGAAAGCTCTCCCTGCTGGATCTTAAGCAATGGCATATTCAAACCCAGTTGGAAGCATTCCTTCTACAAATCACAAAAGCACTGCCAACTGCAGGCTATGACTTTTATCTTTCAAGTGAACAAAATAAGCACACTATGACTTTATTCAACTTTATTATTTCTATTGTTCCAAAATCTTATTTTAGCAGCTGAATCAATATAGCATATTCCAATGCTATGAATATTCTTTAAAACCACAGTATCTCACAGAAGGGTTATATAGGCAGAAAGCAGACCCAAACTGGGAATTATTTACACACATCAACACCATCCGCTCAGGCTCTAAAACTCAGTTCCTTCTCGGATAACAACACATCAAGAATCTATGAGGTATATATGGGAGAGGAGTGTCAAGAGGCACATAACAGAGTTGTTAGTTACTAGATTACCCAGCATAAAATCTCAGAAAAAGGGAAACTACAATCAGCTATACTATTTTTCCTGCTAGACATTCTGGCAAACCATCAAAAATGGGTAATTGGGCAATAGCAACCAACTTACAAAACTAATAGGTTAAGCTTGAGGTATATACACTTGGTAGTAATCCAGAATCTCAGACACTACCTATTTCAGGCCTCCTGAATCAGAATCTAGTTTAACGAGATACCCAGATGATTCGTAGGCACATTAAATTCTGACAAGTACTAAGCCAGCAGAATGTTAATTTACTCACTAGAGAAAACCATCCTATGTAGCTGGTTTTCTGATTATATACTTCATCATAATTATATTTTGATTCTTTAAAAACTAAAATTTCAACCCTGTATTTTCCCCAAGCCTAAAAAATATTAATCCCTACACTTTAAAAAGTCCAGGAGAGAAAAAGTAAAATGGAGAAATCTATTAGAAATAAGGTAATTCAAAGGAAGGCAATATCAAGGAACAAGAAGCACTCAAGAGGAAAACACTCCCCAGAACAATTAACATTAGTACAGAAGTAATTATAAAGAAATATAAGAGGACAGCTAAAACTACAGAATTTTATGTTAATCAACGATATCCACAATGTATAAAAAATACTGTGTACCTTTAATATCATTGAAATTAAATATCTACACTGTGCTTTCCAGTATATGAAATATTTTACCATATTCTACTACCTTTTTATGAATTATATTATTTTGGGGATCTAAACAATTAATTTTCTATAAGATTGATAAATTACTTCATTCTTTGCAGATCCTCATGCGCTCCAGCTAACGCAGCTTCAGCAGACAGTGCTCTGGCTTCCATGTGTTTCAATTTTTCAACAACTGATGTATTTTCACTGAGTCCATTAGGGTATGAGAATGGAACTGACACGGGTTCATAAAGATCTTCTACATCTAAATAAATAAATGGACATTTTTATCAGGCCATCTTATAACAATGAAGCACATATAAATGTGTTACAAATAAGTATATATATACTAAGTGCCTATTATGCGGCCAACTGAGAAAAATTAGTACTTTTAATTAAATAAATATTTAATATCCAAACTATTCCAATTTGAGTTTAAAGAGCATGCTGTTAGTCTAAACTTTTCACTAGTTGGCTAAACTGAACACATAAATAAGCATTAACTGTACTGAAGCAAACCCAGGAAGAAACAAAAAAGTAGAAGGAAAAAACTCATATTTATTGATCATCAGGTATCTTTCAAGTTCATGCATTACATCTCATTCCATCTTCAAAACAAACCTAAAATATAAACATTTATCCCTATTTTAAGACATGGGAAAAATAAATTTCAGAGAAACTGACTAGCCCAAAGTCATGCAGCTGTTTAATGAAGGAACTACAATTCAAACCCATGCCTGCCTTCCCAGCCCGTGTTCTTGCCACCACACAGGGCCACCTCCAGCCTCTGGGTCTTTATCTGTAGAATAACAGGTATGACATTTAGATATTCCTTAAGGACAGTGTGTAGGTAAGGAATTCTGTACATTCAATAACTTTTTCATCATGGGTAAAGTGGTGTGCAACCTATATACACTTATTGCTGACATTATTAAATATCCTAATTCCTAATATTATTAAAAATTCTTGATTTAAATTTAATTTCACTATATGTAAATCATTAACTTCTGCTATAGAAGTTAATATATGTAAATCATTAACTCTGCAAACAGAAGTTAATATATGGAACTAGTGAGTTTTACAAAATCCCAATGTCCACTGACCGGTCTAATTAACTGTCGAATCAACTTAAAGAAATAAAAACAATGCAGATATTACACTGTCTCCTCAGTACACCTCTGAGGGAAACACGACTTTTTTTTTTCTTATTCAGTTTTCACCTGCAACACTTCTTTAGAGCTGAGACAAAATAACTAAGCTTCACAAATATATGATAATATTATAACTTAGAGACTAGAGCCTAAATTGAACTTGTTATAAAAGCAGTTATGGGTGTGCCACGAAACTCTCAAGAGTCTAACAGAATACTGACTCGTTGCTTTAAAAAACTACAGATTCGGGCTTCCCTGGTGGTGCAGTGGTTGAGAGTCCGCCTGCCGATGCAGTGGACGCAGGTTCGTGCCCCGGTCCGGAAGGATCCCACATGCCGCAGAGCGGGTGGGCCCGTGAGCCATGGCCGCTGGGCTTGCGTGTCCGGAGCCTGTGCTCCACAACGGGAAAGGCCACAACGGTGAGAGGCCCGCGTACCGCAAAAAACAAAAACAAAAAAAACTACAGATTCATCCAATATTTAGTTCACCAAAAATTAATGAGAGCAACAAAATATTGCCAAACTATTAAAGGATGGTGTACCATATTTTCTACTTCCTACTACAACTCTCATTGTGTACCTTGTCTTTAAAACTCTTCACACTGTCTGCAAACCACCTTGTTAGTTTAAGTTATGGATTAGAACTAAACAAAGAAATTGGTTTCTTTGTTTTGGCTAGTTTCTCTATTTTGCTTTCTGCTGCAAGAAGTGAGTCAGAATAAAAGCTGTTAGCATTAATAACACAGTTGTCCCTTGGTATCTGTGGGGGATTTGTTCAAGGACCCCCCTCCCTCGGATACCAAAACCCGCAGATGCTCAAGCCCTTGGATAAAATGGCGTATTTACATATAACACTTTAAATCATCTCTAGATTCCTTATAATACCTAACACAATGTAAATGCTATACACACAGTTATAAATACAATGTAAATAGTTGTCACCGGGCAGCAAATTCAAGTTTTACTTTCTGAATTTCTGGAATTTTTTTTCCTGAATTTTTTTTTTTTTTTTTTGCGGTACGCGGGCCTCTCACTGTTGTGGCCTCTCCTGTTGCGGAGCACAGGCTCCGGACGCGCAGGCTCAGCGGCCATGGCTCACGGGCCCAGCCACTCCGCGGCATGTGGGATCTTCCCAGACCGGGGCCCGAACCCGTGTCCCCTGCATCGGCAGGCGGACTCTCAACCACTGCGCCACCAGGGAAGCCCTTCCTGAATATTTCTGATCCAAGGTTGGCAGAACTCCCAGATATGACGGCCAACTGTACACAGATAATTATATATTAAAGTGTATAGCTTTGAAAAGGAGAAAAGATTCAGTAAACACCAAGATGCATAACTATAATATATCAAAACAGTCTAATTTAAAGTCCTAAACCATATTCAGGAAGATGAATTTCCACACCTACATTCTGTCTCAGGAGGTTCAAATCACCTGGATACTTCATTTTAGCAGCTGAAAACTACCATAAAAATAGTCAATTTAGGGCTTCCCTGGTGGCACAGTGGTTGAGAGTCCGCCCGCCGGGCCGCTGAGCCTGCGCGTCCGGAGCCTGTGCTCTGCAACGGGAGAGGCCACCGCGGTGAGAGGCCCGCGGCCCGCTAAAAAAAAAAAAAAAAAAAAAAAAAAAAAAAAAAAAAAAATCGCACGTTCAATTTTTTAGGTATTGCTAAATCTGCATTCTACTAGCAATCTTAGGACAGTGCCTGTCTCTCCACACCTTTGTCAACAGAATGTGTTGTCATATTGTAAAAATTTTTACCAGTCTGAGAGGCGAGAAATGGTATCTTGCTATTGGGCTATTTTCCTACCTTTTTTTGGTAGAATTTTCCCCCATTTTTCTATCAACTGTTTTGATCCTTTGTCCCTTAATTTTCAAGAGTCTTTTATATAAAAAGGATATTAACCCTTTGTGGAATATGTTTCAAATATTATACCATACTTTAAAAAAAATTAACTAAACTCCATTTTATTCACTCAGATTTCATTAGTTTTCCCCTAATGTCCCCTTTCTGTCCCAAGATCCCATCCAGGATACCACATATGTTTAGTTGTATATGTCTCCTTAAGCCCCTCTTGGCTACAACAACTTCTCAGGCTTCCCTTGACATGGACAGTTTTGAGGAGTACTGGTCAGGCAGTCTGTAGAATGTCCCTCACTTTGTGTCTGTCTCATGGTTTTTCATGATTAGACTGAGATTACTGGCCTGGGAGGAAGACCACTGAGGTAAAGTGCCATTCTCATCACATGATATAAAGGGTCCATACCACTGACATTACATCACCAATGATGTTAACCTTCATTACCTGGCTAAGGCAGGGTTCGCCAGGTTTCTCCATCAGTATAGTTACTTCTCCCCACTTACACTGTACTTTCATTGCCTATTTTCTTAGTTATCTCCTTTTCAAATTTAGTCACCTTTATATTCTCAAAGCCTAATACAAAGCAGATGCTCAATAACTATTTACTGAAAGACAGTGCAGGTGCAATAGTCAGTAATCAAGCCAGGAGCCATGAGAATGAAGAACCTTCTCTTCCATCTCTCTACACCAATGGCCAGGAGAACAGATCTTTTGCTTTTTTTGATGGCTGTGCCGTGCGGCTTGTGGGATCTTAGTTCCCTGACCAGGGTTCAAACCCGTGCCCCCTGCAGTGGAAGCATGGAGTCCTAACTACCGGACCACCAGGGAAGTCCCACAGATCCTTTGAGAGGCACGGGCGGTGCACTAACAAGCATGCCCAGTTCAAGTTCCACCTCCTTTACTAGGCCCCTTAACTGTTCCAGATCTCGGTTGTGACTTCTTCATCTAAACTCCTTAGAACTTATTTACTAATAACAATAAATTCTCCTTCATTAAGCACTTACTTTCTGACAGGCACTGTGCTAATATGCATTATCTTTGTAACAATTTTATAAGGTAGGTGTCATTATCACCTTTTTATAAATTAAAATTAAGTCTGAAAGAAGTTAAGTTAATATACCTTTGGAGAGTGAAGAGGTCAATACCGACCTGTATCCATAGTGACCAGTAAATAGCACTCGGTATCTGTTGATCTGAGTAATCTCTTCCTCTTCTGAACTGCACTATTTTTCCTACTTCTCATGAAACTTACTATATTCCACCTTATCTTATAATACAGGACAGTCATTCAAAAACAAAACACTCCTACTATTAGATTGTGGGCTCCCAATGGGAAGGATTCATTTCTTCATGTTTCTAAAGTATTTAACATACTACTTTCAACCTGTGAGTGTTCACTTTTGACTTTAGGGACTCACAAAGAACACCTAGTGGGCACTTTGTCATGTATCAAAGAGATCACTTTGGTTACTTTGAGGAGAAATAAAATTTAATAGAAGTTGTAAAAATGGGAAAGAATCAACCTAGGCTTCACCAAATTTTAGAGGTAGAAAGTTGGAAATCTGGCCTAGTTCTCATTTTATAGATGAAGACCTAAAAAACAGAAAGCTTAAGTGCTTTGTCCAGGGTCACTTAGTTCCTGAATCCTACATTAAGGTTCTTACTACTGCATCACACTGCCACACAACTTCTCTTGATGGTACTTTTCAAGGAAATGAGTGGTTTTCCACAGTTCCCACTTACCAAAGGACTGCTCAAATACACACAGTCAAACTACTATCTGTGAAGGTATGTGTCTGTTTAGAATGGTCTTGCTGATCTGAAGACAGCAAACCCCTCTATCTCACCTAACTGACACAAAAAACATGAAAGAAAGCATAAATTAAAAAAATAATAATAAATCATGAACTCCAACAAATTAGACCTATAGAGAGCCAACAGAATTTTCATAAGATTCCTGTTCAGTAAGGAATGAACCAAAGCACAGAGCAAGAAACTAAGAAAGCTATAGTCAAAAGATGAGTGACCCTGCCACAAGGGAGGCTTAAGAGTTAGTATACGTGGGGAATTTTCGTGGAATCTGTCCTGCACCAAAACAAAAGCTCCATAAATTAGATGTCTTAAGAAAAGTCATGTATCTGATTGTATTATGAGGTAAAAACAGCAATATTATTAAATTTACTTAAATCTATTAAATATTAAATATACTGATTTAAATTTTTTATTTAAATTTAAAATTTCGTCGATTTTAATTACATTAAAAATCAGTCTGACAACTAAAAATTATTCTCTCAAGTCTCCCTATGTTTCAAAACATCTTTTACACAATGTTTAACGCAAGCTCATACTCCTCCCTGGTAACTGTTAGTGTGACTCTCACTTTCTAAGTGACTTAATGTTCCTTCTGAAACCAACTACCTGACGAGGTCTCTAAAGAATCAAGGGGATGATATATTTTCCTATAACACCTAACCACTATTTTGCCATAACAAATGACCCTGCTTTAAATTAGATACCATATGTTCACCTTACCAAATTGAAGTAAAAGGTCATCTTCTAATACCGGCTTTAAATACTCTTCTTTCTCCCAAGGCACTGGGTTGTATATGGAATTCATATATTCAACTGGAGGATTCTGGAAGTAAAATTAATTGCATATTTTTTCACTGCATATAATCACAAAATCCCCCTACCAAAAAACTGGGAAAATTAAAACAAAAAAGGAAATCATGTCTACATCACACAAAATCTCTATTTAAACAGTCTATGTTCACCGGCTATTTCATTAACTTGACTGGATGACTGCTTAACTGTTTCAATGCACAGTTTTATATTGTTTGGATATTGAGGAAATGGCAATATAAACATCAACTGACTAGAACAAAGTATTTAAAAAACAGAACAAAAAGAGCAACCAAAGCACTTAAAAATCGCACTAGAAATTATTTCTGATTTTACAGAAAGACTATCAGTGTTCCCCTTTATCTGACAGTGAATTACTTTGCCACATAACATTGATTCATCTCTTACACAAAATTAAAAACCACACTTAAGTATTGTATGTATCCATTTACTTGGTGCTGTACGTTGTGCTAGTTCCTAATGTCCATGATTCCAATACGATGAGTGTCAAATTTAAAACAGTTCCTTATACAGCAGTTCCTCATATTCTTTTAAAAATCAGCGCATTGATAATCGCTGTAGTACTTCTTTAGGTTTTAAACAAAATTGTAGATTAAGCTACCACCTTACCTTAAGTCTAATAAAATTTATTAGTTTAATGTATCCATAAAATTCAAGTCCTAAAAGGGGAAAAAAAAAAAAATTCACCTATTTTAACATAACATGAGTTTTGTTTCATTAACCTGCTCCGAAGATGCTTCTCTGGTTGGACAATAAAATATTTCTGTCCTCTAAACTACTACTTAAAAATGTTGAAATTTTTTTTTAAGAACGAGAAACAGTAACTCCGACACTTCAGAATATTTTCATTGAGAAACAGACAGAAAGGACAAATTTTTAAGTGCTTTTCTTGCATTTCTGAAAAATCGGAAATTAATTTTTAGAATTCTACTCACTTATCAGAACAATACAAATGAGGAAAATTAGGCCCTTGACTTTACCAAGTATTTGGCAGTTAATACTAGAGTTGATACTAAAGTTTCTAAATCCCCAATTTTTATGGTACCTACCAAACTATAATTTTGCCAGGACACAGAGTATACAAAGTATACTAGCTTTTACATTAAGTTAAATGATGCAAATGAAAAAATAGTGAGGCTTGTTATCTGGTTCTCATCTTTTCAGAAATGAAGTAGCATTTAAAATAAGGGAAAGCAATAGCATATCCAACCAATTATTTGTCATGAGAAATACCAGCATATAAAAATGTTTCATAAGCGTAACAGCACACAAAAGCCCCTATCTGGTATTGAAAAAGATATAAAATAATACAAAGTACGGTTTCAATTCAGTTTTAAAATGCACATTAAAAACATGAAAAAAAATGAAACTAAGTCACATATCTTACAAAAGTAGTTGCAGTTGAATTTATGATTCATAAACATACTGTATCATATGTTTATCTGAGACCCCAAATCTGCCTAATATTTGGTATTCTTCAGTAATGTCCTTTCTAGTTGTTAGTAAATACAGGGACCAAAAAGCCAATTCTGTATTCAGTTAATATTAGTGGGATACTGTAGCTCTTCTATATTCGTTTAAACTAGGAGGCTTTAAGTATGTTTAGATGCAAGTTTCAACAGAATCATCAGCTGAATCTCCGGATTACCACCTTAACTTTAGCACTCGCTTTTTCCACACTCTCTTACCAAACTCCTTATAAAACTCAATCTTGTATGCCTTGAAGTCCATGTTATGCTTTGACCTGATAAGTTGTCTTTTTTCATAATGATCCACCTCCTTTTCCAAAGTCCACCTCTATCCTTTGCTCTCCCTAATTCTAACATCCACGCCCCTTGTCTTCCTAATTCTAAAATGATTAAAATGTAATCTCATGTCAAGGATTTTTTGGGGTTTTTTTCCTTTTTAGTTGTGAAGGCAATTTAAGCTTAAATACAGTCAATCATATCTAGAAGAATGACTTATTTATCAATCTTTCCTCAAAAGCCATTTGTCAAAAACACGCCATTTTCATAAGTTGTTGTCATGTGTTTCACTATATTGGATTTGTATAGGAAAGGAATGGTCTGGAAAAACATAATGTTTGAACTTAAATTTCTCAGCTAAAATTTTCTTTATTCTAAAAATTACTCACCATGTTTATGAACCATGTTATCAATATTAAATTGATGCTCAGACTTACAGTGTGAAAATGTTTCTTCAGCAGATGTAAATAACCTGAAAAACCAAGCAACAGCTTCATGAAATAGTCCCCTAAGAAGTCTAAATATTGACTTCATGTTAGATATAAACTTTTCCCCCTCACTCTGCAGGTTTCCAGTTTTACTGCCAATTAATTAAAAAAAAAAAAACAAACACACCTGTAGAGATGAACCCAGCACTCCTAAAGGGAATTAGTACTTCTGAGTCCCTTTTTACACCTAAAACAAACCACCCTTTAAAATGTTGAGCTGAATTTGCCAAATAATAGCACTGAATTTATCACAAGGCTTCTAAGAAAGAGAACTCCCTTTGATAGACTGTGTCTCTTAAGACATGAAAAATTCACTGCATAAGATTCTTTTCTCCTCTAAGAGATCAACTCTGCTTTCAGAGGCTCTGAACTGACATAGCTCAAACTGCTTTTAGAAATAAAGCATAAAATGTAATTTTATAGCTGGTAAATTCCCAAAGTGCCATATTTCAAAAAGTGGTCTTACAGTGCTCCCCAAGGATTTGTATTATAGACACTGTGAGGGCCAAGCTCTTTTATTCTGTGACCTGCAAAACTGAAGGATGTGTGATAAGAACACACGGCAGAGAGCCTGCATTACCTCTTCTATATGCTTAGCACATATGCAGCAGTTTTCAACAAACGTTTACCGAGAGAGCTTATTTATACAGTATTTACACAGCCTATCACAAAGAAGTACCTCCCTGATGCTCAATAAATATTATTTTTTGACGACTAGAGTATATGCAGACATCCCGTACCCACCCACATGAGGCTACACGTGGGAACAATGACGAATCATCAGAAGCTAATATACCACCAATCAGCACCATGCTGAGACTCAGGGGATACTGGTAAAGTGTTTATTAAAGTAACACTGGCCAGTGCCAACCAGGCCTCTTTAACGCCCACTTGCCCAGGACAACAGCCAAAGTCAAAGATGAAGAGGCAGAATTTTAAGTGGAAAAAACATGGATTTGGTTATAAGACAAACCACAGCTTTGTGACTTTGAACAAGTTACTGGTATTGCAGCGTCCTCTTCCCTAAGTGAAAATTGCATCAATTCCTTCCCCTTCAATTGGGGCGGGGGGGAGCCCCTAACAAAGGTGATTCGTTAAACGGCTCAAATGGAACTATTATACCTGATAAGCTTTCTGTCAAAGAATTATAGAATGGGAGAGCCTGAACGGTTCTAGAAGGTTGAGGGATTAATCGAGTTTAGTGACTCCCAAACTTGTTACTCTTTAGAATCACTTCAGATAGGGTCTTTGTAGAAACAGATTCCTAGACCCTATCCCTGATTTAGAAGGGCTGAGGTGCAGTTTAGCATGTGTAATTTTTTCTTAAGCGTCTCAGGTGACAGAGGTGCACAACCAGATGTGGGAACCACAGATCCGGCCCAGAACCCTTTCATTTTACACAAGAGGAAACTGAGGCCCGTCAAAGTGAAGCAGTGTAACCTGGCTTCCAGCTCATGGTTCCTCCCTGTAAACCACTGTGGGTCTTCCGGCTCAACAAACCGTCACTCCAAACCACGGGCTCCAGACTTCCAGGGCAGCCACTAGGGCTGGACTCCAGAGGAGCAGACCACACAGACCCACGGGGCCCGGCCACCCTAGGGCTGGCGCCTCGCGCTGAGGTGGACGAACCTGTCACAGAACAGGCAGGGGGTCTGCTGCTTGTCGTGGGGGAGATCGGCATCTTCCTCATCCTCCCAGGCGGCCTCGTCACCGCTGTCTGACAGTCCTGGCAGGTCCTCCTCCTCCACAGCGCCCCGGCCGCCTAGCACACGCAAACGGTCAGCTCTGCCTCGGACCCCAGTGCCAGGAGGGCGGACGAGGGGCAGCAAAGCGAGAACGCTCTGGGCCCGGCGGGCCCTTCCCCGTACCTCCCGCTCCCTCTTTGCAGGGCCCCACCACCCCGGCTCCGCGTCCCGGGCGTAGGGGGAGGGGAGGGGCTTTCACCGACCCCACGGCCTCGCGGCCTAGGTGCTGAGGGGCCGGGGTACCCACCGTCTGCGCCCGACGCTAACGAACACATGGCGGCGGTGCCGCGAGAGCCCGGCGCGCCTTGGGGGCGGGGACCAGGTTGGGCAGCGAACGCGCAACCGCCTCCGAGCCTTCCCGGCCCGAGAACCCGGGAACGAGCGTGAGTGTGAGCGTGAGCGCGAGCGTGAGCGCGAGCGCGGGCACGCGGTGGGGCCGAAGCTCCGGGAACTCTGCGGCGCCTGGAAACAGGAGAGCATGCGCGCCGGCTCGCGAGCGCTTCCGGCCTCGGGGCCGCGGCGTTGTTCACGTGAGCTGGGGTGGGCGGGGCGCGAGCCGGGCTCCGCCTCCTGCCGCAGGGTTGACGCAGCGCGCGCCGAGTAAGCGCTGAAACCTGGGCTGCAGGTCCACTTGCAGGCGTGGACCTGGCTTTTGTTTTCTCCTCGGGCTGCGGCAGGCCTTCGCGGGAGGTCCTAAACCGCGGCCCAGAGCCCAGAGGTGGAAGCGGTTCTGCAGTCGGCATCGCGCCCCCTGTGCGTCCCTTATTCGAGGGATGAGCGGCTAGCGGAGGGGCGACCTGCTCGTTGCGCCCTCTGGTGACGGAGGAGGTCGAACGCAGGCGAGAGGCTGGTACTCCACACTGGTTCCGGGGCTCCCTGGTCCCCGTGGGGGGCGGCTGGGGAGAGGGAACTGCAGGGGCCAGTGGGTGTACCAGGGGCCACAGAGGGGCCAGAGCCTCGAGGGCTGTTTTAGGGAGTTCAGTCTTTAAAGTGTATGTCCCAAGTTCTAGTGCCAGGTGCTAGCAGTGGGCTTGGCACAAGTTTATCCAGTTAAATTGACTACCAAGGCCTACCAGGCTCTGCATAATCCGCCTAACATCTCACCTCAACCCTCCACCTTGGGCCCCATCCTCCAGCCTTTTATTTGGTGCTAATCATTTTCCCACCTCAAGGTCTTTGCTAAGAATGTTCTACAAAAGGGTAGATAACTTTTTGTCTCAGCCAGAAAGTCTTTCCTCAGGCCATCTTTTCTAAAGTAGTTTCCAATGTCATTCCAGCAGCCTCCTGTTAGTTTTTCTTATCACCTACCATTTGCTTGTTCCTTCCTTCTTTCCGTCTTTAGTCACGACACTGTTTGGGCATGAGGGTAGGGCCATGTCTCTACCTTCATTTCTCTGGCACATAATATATGGCCTAACTCATAAGTAGGTACTCAATATTAATTTGCTGAATGAAAAAAAATTGCTGAATGAGAACGATGCCTTGTATTATTGCTAAACTCTTCTAAATGCACTCCTTTCCCTTGACTGTAAACCCCTAGAGGACAGAATCCATCAAATATTAGTTTGGAAGCCCCCTTATATTGCAGGCCACTGCCAGAATATCTGCTGGCTTTGCTGGGTTAGACTTACTATTCACTGATGTAGACCCACTGCCTACGTGCCCAGTGGCACATAGTAGGCATTTCAATAAGCTGAATGAACTTCAAGGTCATTTGTTGCCTGGGCTCATCCAGCCTTTTCCTTCATCCTTCCAACATACTCTCCAGCAAGGCCCATCTTCTCCCCGTCTGCATAACATTTGGAGGGAAACCTGCTAAATCCCATTAACACCCAATCATTCCACGTTAACAGTAGCGACATAACACCCAGTCCAGAGGAGTGACTGGGCCAGAATCTTGTTCCTTGAAGTTTATGTGTCTACACAATGCTGGGCTTAGGAGGGAACAGCTTTTTTCTCTACTCCAAAGATAAACACAGACCCTCTCCCATCACCCCACTTCACTACTGAGGTCAGAAAAGAATGTTGAACAAGACCTGACAGCAGGTTTGTGGGTAAGGAATTTCAACACACAGAGAATAACTTAAAACTGGCCACTGGGTTTAGCTGCTTTTAGAGCCCACCAGCCTCAGTATATCCTCATGGAGTCCCCTTAATTCGTGCCTCACTTCTTGGAGCCCATGCTTGTTATCACCTAAACAAACAGGCTCTTCAGAGTCCAGCCCCAAAGGAATCCCACCTGGCAGGAGGAAGATGTTCCTTCCATCTCCTTCCTAAAGCCCACATTCTAAGTCCTCACCCCATCCTAAAATATGCCTCTTTCCTAGATGACTGACACTGGGAATGTTCAACCCCTTCTAAAGACAGACACACACACACACACACACTCCACTGAAGCTTGAAATTTATTACTTTGCTTCCCCCAGCACAGAAGTTAGGACAAAATTCCCTATTATCCTTTGTTCCATGATGGAAATTAACAGTGTGTTCCTCTTGACTTTGACCCTTCCTTCTGCCTCTTCCTTTCCTTTTCCATAGTTTTTAAACTGAAGCACTTTGAGATATACATTTACCGGCTATGTGTACATTTTGTAGTTAATCATTAGAGGTATCCTAGACCAATGAAGAAACCCAAACATTTCTATTTTATTCATCCATGGCATGTACTGATCCAGTAACAATTAACTGGAACTTCCTGGAAATATACAGATACTGGATGCTCTTGCAGAGTAGTTAAAAACAGAAGCTATGGATTCGGGCTCACTTGGGTTAGAATCCTGGCTCTGCCATTTCCTAGCTTCAGGCTTGAGCTTTAAGCCCTTGGGCAAGGCATTTAACCACAGTGAGCCTCGGTTTCCCCACCTAAGATAGGGGGATGATAGTACTGCCTGTAAGAATTATAAAGATTGTTTGGAGGGTTAAAGGACAGACATCATGTGTAAAAGCTGGCGATTAGCAAGCACTTGATATATATTAGCTGCTATTCTATAATCCCATTGGCCAAAATACTGCATATTACCACAGATACTTGGGCATTTTCTAACAATCTAAGGGAACCCACGACTTGTCCATTTATTTTAATTCTTCTATTTAATTCTCCCATGAATTATATAAGCTCAGTTATATAATAACTTTTATTATATATTCTAAAGAAATAGTAAGGCACAATGTTCACTTACAAAATTAACATGCAGTCAGCACTGGGTAACTCAGAGACACAAATGTTAACAATTTTTGTTCAGGACTCATCTGCATGATACATAAAGTTTTCACTGCTGTGACTCTGCAAGACAAGCTTTCAAAGCTGGCCTCCCCACCAGTGGCATCAGAACCATAAGAGAAGCTTAAATAAAACAACAGATTTCTGTCCCCATACCCCCAAAATTCTGATTGAGAAAGTTTGAGGTAGGGCCTATGAACCTCTCATTTCTGTGCCGAATACGAGACACTAGACCACCGGGGAGCTGCTGGATCTCTGTTTTTGAAAGGCTCCCAGGGTGATGTCTACATATGTACAATCAGGCTCTAAAATGCTGATGCAGAGAGCACGATCATTTTTTGTTTGGATCTGGGCGACTGAGAATAGTGAAACCACAGTTAAAGCACATGTTTCTTTTAGACCCCGAAATTACCAATTAGGTGATGGGTGTTGAGTTTGACAATAGAAAGCAATTCTCCAGTGTGGTCACGGCTTGAGAGAGCCATCAGCTTTCCCCAGGTTGTGGATGGCCTCATTATCCAGCAGTTCCTTCTTCTTGTCACTTGGTCTCACTGCGTTGTTCAGCATTGCTCTAACCACAGTCATCACTGGCACAGAGTGACCGCTGGCCCAAGATTCTGGTAAGGAGCCAAAGAACTTCCTAACCAGCCATTCACCGGGGCGAGATTCTTGCCTATCACATAATAGAACTCTAAAGGGAAAAAGAAGAGCAGAGGAAGAGATGGTAAATTGCATTCAGACCATACAGGATGTTATGGATTGAACTGTGTCCCCCCAAATTCATGAAGCGCTAATCCCCAGTGGGATCGTATTTGAAGACACACCTCTAGGGAGGTAATTAAGGTTAAGTTAGGGCATAAGGATGGGACCCTAATCTGATAGGGCTGGTGTCCTTACAGAAAAGGAAGAGATATCAGATATTTCTCTCTCTCTCCACTCACACAGAAGAAAGACCATAGAAGGACACAGAAAGAAGCAATGAATCAACAAGCCAGAAGGGAGGCCTCACCTGACACTAACCCTGATGGCACTTTGACCTTGGACTTGTAGCCTCCCATTCTGCAGTGTTAGTGTTATGGCAGCCCAAACACACTAATACAGTGCATAAATGGTTTTATTTGGGCACAAAGAGGATTTTAAAGAAGGCGGCAGCCAAAGCTACCCAGAAAATTTCAGACTATTCTAAACCTGGCACCACCAACCGTCTAGCCTTTCCTTCAAAGCTAAAAGTGGGTTCTTCAGAGAAGCAATCTCCCTCCAGCCAACTCTTTCATATCTTAGAAATTTGTCAGCCTCTTCAAATTAAAAGCCAGCTTCTAGGGAATAACCAACAGTGGTGTACTCTTAGGCAGTAGGAATACTTACCCGGGCCTAAATATGGAGTAACGATCAAATTTTAACTCTTCAACCCTAGCTTCCACTTCTCCCTGTTAACAAAAAAAAAACCATTTCTAGTATTTAATCAAGACCAACTTGCTGGGGCTTCCCTGGTGGCGCAGTGGTTGAGAGTCCGCCTGCCGATGCAGGGGATGCGGGTTCGTGCCCCGGTCCGGGAAGATCCCACATGCCGCGGAGCGGCTGGGCCCGTGAGCCATGGCCGCTGAGCCTGCGCGTCCGGAGCCTGTGTTCCGCAACGGGAGAGGCCACAACAGTGAGAGGCCCGCGTACCGCCAAAAAAAAAAAGACCAATTTGCTATAATGCTTAAGAGAGAGTAACAAGAATAACTTGGGGTTTTGAAGATAATCTACTTCTGCAGGTCTCAATACTAGTTAATATCCTCCCCTAGATTTTTAGATTCCAGAGAGTCTGGGAAGTTAAGGAAGCGATCAGTTAATCCTGATGTGTAGTAGAGAGTGAAAAAAGATGCGCCGAATGAGTAAATGGCTGCATAGTCAGTCCAGCCTGTCATGTGACCTACTGAAACAGATCCAGAGAGTGACATGTTAGGAGTTCAGCCATAAAAGAACTGTCTGTCACTCCAGAATCAGTGCTGCAGGCCAGGGGACCTTAACCTTTTTTGGCGTCCAGGTAGTTTCAGGTGGTCAGAAGAAACACAGACTCCCTTGTATTACTCACTTCCTAACAAAACCCACCACATTTCAAGAGACGAACATCTAGATGAGGCTTTAAATTAAATTTGTTGAACAATCCATGAATTTTCACGCCAGGCATCTCTAGAAACAAATGCCAGAGAAGCTTGGCCACAGGGATGTTTAAAAGGCCTATGAACTAAGCAGCCCGCTCGCCGCCTCCTTCTCGGCCTGTTCATACCATTCATTTGGCACTTAACCTACAGCACTGTATAATCTGCAGTAATACATTTTAATCAATATATTTAAAAAATACATTTTAATCAATGTATTAAAAAGCTTTTTTCAATGAATGTTTTTTAATACATTCACAGAAGAGTTGTCCCACCTTCACCACAATCTAAATTTAGAATATTTCATCACCCCAAAAGAAACCCCGTACCAATTAGCACTCACGCCCATCCCCTCCCGCAAGCCCTAGCCAACCACTAATCTTTCTGTCTCTAAAGATATGCCTATCCTGGACATTTCCTATAAATTAAGTCATGTAAGTTGTGGCCCTTTGTGACTGGCCTCTCTCATTCAGCACAATGTTTTCAATGTTCACCCATGATATAATATGTCATTTCTTTTCATAGTTAAATCAATGTTATTTTGTAGGTATATGCCACATTTTTTTCATCCATGCATCAGCTGATGGATATTTGAGTTGTTTCTACTCTTTGTCTATGATGAATAATGCTTCTATAAACATTCATATGTAAGTTTTTATGAGGGTGCGTTTCTTAGTTGGCTTTTTACATACATGTGTTTTGTCTCTATTAGCAACATGTGTACAAGAGTACCAGGCTGAAACTGCTATTCTTAGAAAGGTCTGCTTGCCAGGCTGTCCTTTGGCCTGTGTCTGGGAACTCAGATTTTAGGAGTGCTCCTGTCATCAGCTAACTGATAAGGGTACTTTACTATGCCTAAACTATTTGTACAAACAACGTGGTTTATGCTGAACACTTGCTTTTCTTCTGGAAGTCTGTAATTTTTTTAGGCTGAGGGTGCCTACGTGACTGACCCCCATCAAAACCCTGGACTCCTGAGCTCAACTGAATTTCTCTGGTAAGCAATACTCATTGCTGGAGAAATGAAACACGTGTAACTCCACTGGCAGAAGACCCTTGGAAGCCTGAACCTAGATTCCTCCAGAGCTCACTCCATGCACTTCTTTTTCCCTGCACTGACTCTGCTTTATATTCTTTCATTGTAATACAACATGGCTGTGAAGATAACTATATGGCAGTCCTGGGAAGCCTTCTAGTGCATTCCCAAACTTGGGGCTGGCTTTGGGGATCCCCCGAAACAAGACTGTAATTCCTTGAGGACAAGAACCATACCCAATAATAACATTTAATCTACTCTGGAAAACTTTAAGTATCACTGCCTAAAAGTCTCTTCTAATGCTAAGACTCTGGGCTGATCTTCAAGACCAGGGCTGCAACATTCTCATTTCATGATGACTGGATAATCAACAGAGGGGAAGACACTGGAAATTATCTTTCAAATCACTCCTGTTTACTAAATATATCTCTGCAAAAAAGCAGTCCATGTAGTTATAAAAAATGCATAATATAATGCATTTAATGCATTTTGGCATTACTTAGCATTTTATATTATTTAGTATTGCCAATTAGCCAGGGTTCTCCAAAGTATACAAAAGATAGAAACATGCACAAACCTTGACTTGCAGATATAAAAAATTGCTTGACTTATCAGCTCCCTTAGAGGACAGCAAGTTGAAATGTTTGCACCCTCCAGCTTTTGCCAGCTCTGCAGACTTCAGGACGTAATCTCGATCAACATGAACAAATCCCTCCTAAGGGTGAAAAGGATGTGAGTTATTTCCCAAAAGCTGTGAGTTTAGCTTAAAGATTACTTATCAGCTTGGGTGGCAGGTTAAGAGTCCTTGCGGGGGGTGGGGGGGTGGACGAGGATGGGGATACAAATAAAATGCATCCAAAAAAACACGAATGTCAGGCTTAGACCCTGGGAATGGCTCCAATATGATGCTCAGGATAGATGTACCAGCTTTAGTAGCAAGGCCAGACTGCAATGAAAAAACAAGGACAATGACACTGAAACACAGACACCAAGAAAATCTGCAAGGAGCAAAAGGAACAATAATATCAGGCTGAGAAACTGGGGGGTTTTGTTGTTGTTTTTATAATATTTATTTATTCATTAACTTGGCTGCCCCAGGTCTTTAGTTGTGGCGTGCGGGATCTTCGTTGCGGCGTGCAGGATCTTTGTTGTGGCATGCAGAATCTTTAGTTGAGGCATGCGGAATCTTTAGTTGTGGCATGCGGGATGTAGTTCCCTGACCAGGGATCAAACCTGGGCCCCCGGCACTGGGAGCGCAGAATCTTAACAGTTGGACCACCAGGGAAGTCCCCGAGAAACTGTTTTTAGTCTCACATTTCTTTGTCCTTAATCCTTTACAACCTTACCACCCTCTCTCTGTTTTCTCTATTTTTTTGTGTGTCAACTCTAACACAGCAGGGTCTCAAAGGGTGGCGGAGAACACTACCCACGCACTATGAGAACAAAGTCTATCTAATTTCCAATTTTTGTGTATGTTTTACAACATGCTTCACACGTTAGTAAGGAGTGCATCTGCAAATTTTTTTTACTGACAGGTATATAATCAAGAGTGTTTGGAGACCCCTGGTCTAGACTCAGTCCAGTGAGGGTAGCGGTTGGGTATTTCCTAATTCACATCTCAGCATCAGTACATGCCCAGCACATGGCAGGTGCTTCAAAAATATTTGAATGAATAAAAGTCCAGCGAAAGCAGAGAAAAGGTAAATCCAATTAGGAAAAAAAAGAACTAAGTGGCAATCAAAGGAAGAGGGGAGAGGATGGTGCAAACAAGAGAATACAGACTGATTTCCAGGGCCTAAGTGAAGGATACCGGCCTGTCCCCAGACTAGGGAATTCCATGTAGTAACAGCTTCTTGGGCCCACCACAAAGTCTGGAATCCTCAAACTTGGTGCAGCTGAAGAGCAGTCTAAAGTCTACTGAAGCTGAACTTCATGGGTACCCACAACTATATAATGAGGTTCCATATAATAAGGATTCCAAATCTGAAGACTGGATTACTGCCCCAGTGATTTTTTTTTAAATTAAAAATCTGCCCTCTGGTAGTTACTGACCCTAAATGTTGTATTTTGTATGGAGATATGTATCTTTCATAAGATAGATAGAAGGCACCTTAGGAAACATCATGCCTAACCCCCTCACTGTGGAGATGTGACAACAAGGTTCAGCGATCCAGGAACTACCGGCTAATGAGTGAGATAGCTGAGAGCGGAGTGCAAATTCCTGACTCTCTGAGCCGTGCTCCCCATTGTACTCATGTTCCTTCTTACCTCACACCATCACCAGCTAATGACAAAACTAATTCATAACTGTGGTAGGCAGAACAATGGCCCCTCAAAGACGTCCATGCCCTAATCCCCATACCTGTGAACGTGTTAGAGGCTACATGGCCAAGGGGAATTAAGGTTGCAGGTGGAATTAAGGCTGCTAATCAGCTGACTTTGAAAAAGGTTATTCTGTAGTATCCAACTGGGCCCAATGTAATCACAAGAGTCCCTACAGTGGAAAAGGGAAGCAGAAAAGGAGTTAGGCAACTCCTGGAGTTAGGCAACGGGAGTAGCACTTGATCCCCCATTGCTGGCCTTAAAGATGGAGGAAGGGACCATGAACCAAGATATGCAGGTGGTCTTTAGAAGCCAGAAAAGGTAAAGAAAATGGATTCTCCCCTAGAGCCTACAGAAGGAAATCAGCCCTGTCAACACCTTGATTTTATCTCAGGAAAGTCCACATCGGACTGCTAACCTATAAAACTAAGATGATAAACTTACGTTGTTTTAAGCCACTAAATTTGAGGCAATTTGTTACAGCAGCAATAGGAAACTAATACAGAATTCAATTCTAAAACAAGGGGCCCAAGCAAACTTTGTATTGAAGTAGATCATAAAAGAAAAGTAAATATATTCTAAGTATAGAGCTGGCTATAAACTGTTCATAAACTAATAAACATCTTCTGCAACCAGCTCCCAGACCCAGAAATAGAGCACCACCGTTACCCCAAAAGCCTGTCTCGTCCTCTCTTCTTATCACTTACGGAGCATTTTTAACTATGTCCACGACCTGCAGGGCAGTGTTGTTCCTCTTTCTTTTTTTTAGGTAATATAAACTTAACTCTTAGCCAGGAATCATCCCCATCTGCTTCTGTGTTGTAGACTTTGACATTCAATCCTAATAATGGACTCAGCGACCTGTCCTACACACTGATTGAACCTCATGTTGTTGCTTTCTTAAATCAGTGTGCAGCAAACCAGTTTTAATACTCAGCACATCCTGAGAGTGGGCTGTGATTGATCTCCTCAGAGCCATTCTCTGGATTGAGATTTTTACATGTGCTCAAAATGTGCCAAGAAAAACAACCCAAAACGACATCAAAAAATTCTAAAACACTCTATTTCTCTTCCACATCTATTTTCTTCCCCTCACTCCAATTCACCAGAACTCTGATTTTGATAACAGGTTCATTATTCCCAATAAAATTACATCGTTGACTAGTGAAATTAATTCCTTTCTGTTGCTGCTGCTGGTTTAGCACTATTTCTTGGAAGGATTATTAGAGTTGTCTCTGTTAAAATGTTTCTTCTTTCATCAGCGTCTTTAAAAATACGGGAAAGCTTCAGCCAATCACAAGGCTCTAGACCGACGCTGTCCCTCTCACTTAATCCAGGGCCAGTAAAGGGATAATTTGATTAAACTGAGACCCCAATTTATCTGGCTTTAGTTCTGGATCAACCTCTCCTTAATAGAGTCCTGCAGTCTCCGATTGTTTGATGAAAATTAAAGTGACATAAATACCATGGGACTTTTTCAATTTGATTAGTCAGCTAAGGCACATCAATACCACCCCAGCCATCAGCCTCTGGCGTCCCTCCTTTCACCCGCCTGGCGAAGGACTGACAACGGCTCCGTGCAGGACGAGCACCCACGCTGCTGCAGAGACCCTCACACTTAGCCCATCATCCCTGCTCAATGGGTCCTGTCGACAAGGTGCCCATACCTTTCTCCACCGCTGTTCTCTGGACAAAGCTCAATACTGTTTTATTAGCAATCAATGGCTGTTAATCCAAAACGATTTCACAAATCCTCTGAGCCCTCAAGCTGATTATAAATACGCATCATTCCAAGCCCACAAACTTTGAATTTCACTTCCCCCACCCTGATGCGTGGCCTTTTAACTGGTGAATGAAACTCAAAAGCAAAGGGGTCAACGGCTTTCAAGGACTCAGAAACCAAACTTAAACGTGGATCCCGGACACTTACTCAGAGATACTGACACACACTGATTTTCTCTGGAGTGAGGAAGACTCCCTTTATAGATAGAAAGGAGCTATCTTTAATATATTATTAAACCCTTTCTCGTTCTCTAGCGGCTCAAATAAAAGAATAGAAAAACAAACTAAAACAAGCTACTCCATATCCCAGAAACACAATTTTCAGAAAAACCATATTTAGTTTCCCCAACCATATGGCAGAAAAAAAGATGTCTCTTCTGAGAGCATTAAGTCCATTATGTCTTTGTGTCTTTATGATTCCACAGTTGGTGTGTTTTACTCTAAGACAGGAATCAGAGTCCTTCTAGAAAAAGGAAATGATTAAATAAATTCCCACTATAAATTTCCTTTCCCAGCACCTGCTCGAAAAAATAAACACAATATACTGATACGACACAGCAGAGATGTCTTCATGGGCTCTACAAACATCTAGGTAGACAAATTCTCTTAATTACTCTTTATTTTAAGTCTTATGAAAATCCAAAGCTACTAAGCATTCCTTCGAATATTCTTTACCAATGCCTGCAAACTGGGAACACTGTGGCTTAAGAACACCTCATCCTGACAAGGTATTTCAGCATTGACAAGCAAGCAGGCAGGAATGAGTCAAGGTCAACAAGACCCTTTTCCAAGAAGGGGGGATTTCATTCCGCAAAGGGTCCCATTTGGCCATATTTCTGCTTCAGGTTCTTTCTCCTTCACTCCCTTTTCAATTCAACCCTATAAATTAGACTAGAAAACAGAGACACTGACAAACAACAAATGGTATGACCTGAGACCCCATTTATTTGTGTCCTGGAGGGCACGTCTATATTTGATGTACAGAGGGGGAACCAAGATCTTGGTTAGAGAAAGAGCTCTGGATAGAAAAATAAAATCTTATAGATGCAGAGGATTCCTAAGTCAATCTCTATGTTATCACACATCTTTTTTCCATTTGGGGCATTCCTTTCTTTCTGTTTTGAAAGTCAGAGAGTTCTGCAGGCCAAAGGGGCTTCGGTGGTCACCACCCTCTCAGTACAGACAAGGAGACAGGGGCCCACAGGAGCTAACCAGCATACCCAAGGTCCCACAGCCATTTGGTACCCAAACAGAGGCTATGATCTGGGTCTCACGAAACATCTGGGACCTCACCACTTCACAAGCCCCCTCCTAGACATCAAATAAAATAGTATAGGTGACAACAGGGGTTGGCAAACTCCCTATAAAGGGTGAGACAGTAAATATTTTCAAATTTGCAGCCCTCTATTGCAATTACACAGCTCTGCCATCATTGTGCAAATGTAGCCACTAATAATATATAAAGTAATGAGAATGTTCCAATAAAACTTTATTTATGGATACTGAAATGTGAATTTCTTATATTCTCATGTGTCATGACACATTAGTCCTCTTTGAAAATTTTTAACCATTTAAAAATATTAAAACATTCTTATTACCACTGATGAATAT